GGGATCTAACGATCCCCCAAGGAGTGGAATCCACACCCAAGAACCTCAAGAGTGCCTGGTTCCTCTAAACAATCGAGTGGGCAAACCAAGTTTGCTACTCTACAAAAAGAAAGACATTCTTGTTATTTTGCCAGCAGGAGGTGGAGTGTGTGGGCTAACACGAATTAATCATTGACCGGCGCAAGTATTCGTCTAGGCCCAGAGGGAACTAATCGATGTTGGTCAAAATAACCAAAGGTACAGAACAGACCCAAAAACAATCTAGCGATTGAAGAGAGTAAACGTAGCCGAGTAGAGATCAACAAGTGAACTGGTGCAACATATTGCACCAGACAGTCTAGCATACAAGGTCACATTCTACGGCTGTCGCAGGTGGTTTGATTAGGCAACGGTACCTAGGAAAACGATCTCTTCACATCTAGTTGATCAGCGTGTGTATTCCGGTACACTTACATGCAATTTACCAATCATTTTTAATTTTTTAATATAAAGTGTAAACAATATGCTCATTGGTATCAGTTTGGCCGATTCGGATCGGGTAAGTTAGATGAGACAATGATAAGGTAAGAGGTTTACTGATGTACCCTTTAAAATGGATTGTTGCGCTATCTCTCCTTAGCTGTTTACGCAGGCTTCGGAAATCCATTTAGGGAGGTTTAAAGCACATTCTGCTAAACTCTTCATGCCTTATCACTGAGTCACTTGTTGACTTCTGTTTGATCTATTTTAATCAGAAAGTAGGAATAGAGGGGGAAGTGATTTAGCGTGAACAAGCGTTTCGCAGATCCTAAACAAGGAAGTCTGTTCAGGAAAAGTTGTTTTAATGATGCAGTTCTGCTGATCGATAAATTTTACCTGGTTATACCTTATCCGCCTTTCCCTCAGATGTACAGTCTGGAGACGTTCACAATAGAAACTCTAGAGACAACGGGCATTTCTGATGTACAAAATTTATCTTATACAATTTTAAGGCAAAAGAAAACATTGTCACATAGGACCTAGAACTGCTTAGGTCCAGCAAAACATCTAGTCTGGCCCGGGATGAGATTTTACTCTTCTCATCTCGTAGTCACTTCCGGACTAGCATCACAGCCAACTCGTGTGATATCATTTNCGGGGGGGGGGGGGCAACGTGTAGACTGAATGATATAAAACAATTGTATTTTTCAAATATACTTGTGCTTTAGTCTCTCTGAAACCCCCAAACTAGTCAAATTCTAACAAAAACGAAGTCTATATCTCTGTTTCTACTACTTCAGATTCACTGTCGACAGCAATCCTCATTCGTCCACACACATTTACAACTGAGACGCCCCTCTTTCCAGTTACGCAAACTCAGGCAATTCCGAACCCCACAGTCCGTCCCGTTCGCTTTCGTTCACCAATGCGTTTTGCCCATTCTACTCAATTTCTACCCTGTAGTATTTCCCGACCTTTTAAAACAAGACTTCAGAACCATTCGTCGTGGTTTGATGACAGTCAGTCAGATATCAATAATCCCAACCGATTCATTAATCACAGAACTCATTAATGGTCACATAAACTCTTGTGTTAAATTTGCCAATAAGATTCTAGACGACCATCTTCATCCCATGCACCCCGATCTGTCATTTTATCGATCTCATCTGTCCACACGCCCCTCTTTATGTCATCTGTCGTCTAGTAATAACATTTACGAAATTCCACCTAGCCTAACTCCTAACCAAAAAAGAACAGGTCAGAAGTTCTGTACATGAAACAAACATCAGTGACATTTTTTATGATGCATGTCATATGAAACTGTATGTTTCATTCCACGTGACGCGTCGTGTACATTTTTAACTGCAATGTAAGCAAATAAGCTTACACAAGTTATATAGAAATAACAACAATAACAATAACAATTTTTTTGGTGTTTCACCGTACCAGGTCTAGCAACCGTAAAGCAGAACACTACGAACGGCGGCGAAGTACACCCTTTCCTTAAGGGACAGTCGGATGTCATGGCGGCGCCACAGGTGTCGTAGGTTGGCATAAGCTACTCTAGCTTTCGCTATTCGTGATGTGATCTCGTCCCCAACACCACCACCAGCTGCAATCAAGCTCCCGAGGTACTTAAAGGTCTCAACTACTTCTAGCTGATCACCACAGACGGTGAGTGCAGGCACAGGCTCCTGCCAGTCTTGAGCCAGCACCTTGCACTTGTAAAGTGCAAAGCACATACCATACCTGGCTACCTCGATCGCCAAGCGGTTCAAAGCATCTTGGACTGCCTGTGTGTTGTCACCTAGCAAGGCGGTGTCATCGGCATACTCCAAGTCAAGAACTCTATTCCCTGGGAGGAGTTCGACTCCACCGTTTGCTAGGCCGAATAAAGCAATCTGTAGCCTCAAATAATTTATGAAGTTATTGTTTCCTTAAATGTGATGTAAATGCTTGTGACAACCGACAAAGAGCATTGGACAGCTGTTTTGTCCCGCTTGTGACTCGCCAGCAGGACGTACATTTAGTGTCTCCGTATCCGGACTCGAATCGCCAATCCTCGGGTTGGGACATCAAACTCGTACCCCTGAGCTACACTGCATTTAAATTTATCCAACCGGTGGAAAATTAATGATCTCCCAAGGGGCAAAACCTACGCCGAAGATCATCAACAGTGCTACTCCAAACATTCATTGTCTGAAATTTTCTCAGGCTGTAGTTATTCATACTCTCAAACCCGATCTGTGCAAACAATGTCAATGCTCAATCACATAAACTTTGCCTTGGTGATTAACCCCCCAACCCTCTCTCAGTCGTTGGGTGGCGCAGGTAACCCGCCGGTACCCCATGTAGTTTGATCAATCTGGGACGTCCTTAGATTGTGTATTACTTTTAAATAAATCCCATTATTTTTTTTTAATTTTTGGAAATAAATGTGCTCTTTTATTGGTTAAAGATATAGAAGTGTATTTTCCTATCGTTTTTTTAATTGGCGTCGACCTTGACTATACCTGGATCTATCATGTGTCGTATTCTTCATGAATTCCAAGGAGAAGCTTGCGTGGAATATATGTAAAATCGTGGAGTATTAACAGAACAGCGAACAAGTTCATGCGGACGTATAATGAAGATTCAAGAGTTCACCTGCAGCAGTGACAGGTTTGTTTTCTGTTGTACTACCTGTAGACACCAATTATCACTTTGATCAGGTACTTTCTTTGATAAATCTCAGTTGCCGCTGTCCACATTAATGGATCTGATAATTTGTCGTTATGGTTAAACCTATCACGTGACCGGCGGCCACCTCATTTGGGAACATGTGGACGAGGTCCAGTTCAGGATGCGGTTTGATTTCTGCATACAAACTTTTATAAACGACAGTGACTTATTTAGGACATATTAAACAATTGTACGTGTGTAAATCCTTGGTAATAGTCATTTATTATTGAGTAAACATATTTTTGGTCCATATACGCGTGTTGCCTGTTTCTGCTATCCGTTATACTACTTATGAGTAGTAGACGTCGGATTACATAAAGTTTGCTCCATGGAGTGCCGGCGGGTAACATGTGTCGTGTTGTCCGTTGTGAGCGATCTTGTCCTCATCTCACGGCAATTATCTTAGACTATTAAGAAATCACTTTGACTGCAGTATGCATGTGCACAGATACAGCCAAATGATCATGATCATGTGCAAACCTCCGAAAAATTTCATCGTTCAAATTAATATTCCATTCACCAAAGCAACTTTTTATATTGCGTGAGTGTTTATAGGAGGATTTTATTCAATTTAACTGAGGGAATTCATAGTGTACGGAGCAAATCAAGCGTGAGCGAATCTCTCGGCCCAGCTTGGGAGCGAACCCGGAACCTCAGGGGCAGAATGTAAGCACGCTACCCACTCGGCCAACCCGAGGGAGCTAACCAAACTGTTTTTCATTTTCCATTTACACGATATAGCACAACCTATCTTTGCGAGCTTGTTGCGGGCCTCGCGCCTCGCTCATCTCAGCGCCAACCTCCCGAGGGTTACGACTAAGTTGGAAGTATTCACAACCTGATTACTTGTTGCATGAGACCAATAGAGGATTTGATTCAATTTCAAAGGGAAATTCCTCGTGTATAGAGCAAATGAAGTGTGAACTGAAAAGCTAGGAAGCACTAATGTGCAACTGTTAAGACCCGACTGCATCTTTCTCCCACTGTCACAACCGATGCACCACAAGAGCATGGTGATTGGTTGTACAAAGTGAAAAACAAATTGAATGTCGTTATAAGAGGGTCAGTGGGGACACTGGATAAAACGTGGTGATCAACTCAACCCATACTCATAATGAGGAAATACAAGGCAGTTAGTTATCTCAACGGATCAAAGAAGACAATCCACACTGGCTCATACAGGGTGGAAGCGGAGCTGTGTCAATATATAGATCGTTGCTCATCTGGTTGAGACGGGACACTTGGTTGACATGCGCTCGGCATTTACAGCCATTTATAGAGTCTCATCACACTCCGCTCGAGAGCAATACGGTTTCGGACGTTAGCAACCGCAGAGTTGATTAGCATCCGACTCATGAAGCCTGAGCTGTGGGCACAACGCTCCCCTGGCCAAGCGAAGAGAACATCACTTGTCCATATGACCATGATGTAACTTAGCGATTACGTAATCCAAACAGCGCACAAACTTGGAGTTCTCTTGGGCTCATCACCAAACATATGACTCATCCACCTTTTTTTTTGACCCTACTGAAATTGTTTCATATAAAAGTGATTGTAAAGGCTTGAAAAGGAATTCGCCGAAAACATATGTTCACCTACATTGTGTGTTCTTAATCCATGGGAATATTTCATAATTTTATTGAGGAAATACTTGATTCTGCACGAATCGCCCTATTATTTTGGCCAGTTAATTACCACTGTAGCAACGAAACAATCTATTCACTTCAATCCAATTTAAACGGTAAACGGTCCAAACGCAAAACACCCAAAATACGTGAAACTGGCTACGTACAGACAGACTATCACAAAACAAACCCAAATCAAAATAGTCTTACCTGACGCATATTAGGCGATCGACGTGACATAAACATATTCTGATGCATCGGTAATAACGGCAATAACGGTGGTTGATGCTGAGAGGCAAACTGTGGACGCGCTAATCGTGGACTGATCATCGGATATGTGTCCCCATCCGGTCCCAAATCATCATAACGTGAATCAACTCTGGTCGAATCTCTGGACGAGGATCGTGTGAACATGTGCGAGATTGGTCCACGTGGTCCCGGTACACTGCCAGCTCGAGTGCCGTAGAAATGATACGATCGGGAACGTCCGAATGAGCGTGATCGATAGCGACGTTTGTCGGCTGCGTATTTGCTTCCCTGTACATGTGTTCCATGCGGCCCCGTGACATTCATCGCTTCCAAACCTTTGTCTCCTTGGACCACATCAAATTCCACTTGTTCCCCATCACCCACAGATCGTTGCCATTTGTGTGGATTATTTTTCAATATGGCACTCTATTATTATTATTATTATTATTATCAAGTGAAGTTATGTTGAACTAATGCGTATCAGTCTTACCTGATGCACAAATATGTCCTCTTTGGTGTCACATCGATTGATAAATCCGTAGCCACTTTTCACGTTGAACCATTTAACCACACCGGTAATGTGAGTAGCTGGTAAAAACACAATAAATTGGTTACACAGTATGGGATTGCACAGGCGTGTTAAAAGCAGATTCGGCAGGTTATGCAAACAACGATGAGCGTGTACGCTACTTACCGACTACTTTCTTTTCTGCTTTCATTAGGTCTATTCGAGGCCCATCATCCACCTTCGCCATGATTTTCGCAATCAACCGGTGTCCAGTTCGGTGCGGAATGAATAAACACTAATGGAGACCAAAGTGTAGAGAACCTATTTTTCGACAGCTGGACTCCGCCACAACAAAAACTGGCCAGGTAAACCGAAG